AAACATTCATGCATAAAGATTAGATATCTTTTGATTTAAATCTAACCATAATGTAAATCTTTCAAATTATTATCGAAATTTGAGATAGAATGAGAGATTTGAACCAGTTATTTCTTGTGATAATACCGGTGAAATTACAATCACAAGTATTATGTTTTCATAAGTTCCTCAAATTCGTTTAGTTTTATTATGGCATTGTACTTATCCTATTCACTGAATTTTTAAAAGAAAAACTCTAACTCTTTATTGAGGCTGCACCACCTCGTGGTTCACATATGTGAAATTTTTTCAGTATCTTTGTTACTTTTAAAAATATTTGTATCCCGTACCAAACTTCATTGAGAGTTTTATAAACCCATCCTCTTGTCATAACAAGCAGCACTATTAATCAAGGATAGGATTTTAAAATAAGTTGATAGTGTTTAAACTTATCCATTTATTAAATGACTTGTTATTACCTTTTGAACCTAGATATACTTATTTTGTATATTTTGATAGGGTTGCTACCATTGGTGGACTTTTAATTAAGGAGTTTAACCTGATCCTTCTTGATGTTAGCTAAGTTCTAACTAGACTTAACTTATTTTAGAGAAATTATTCCATGTTTGATTAATTTTCTGATACATTCATGTTTTAAACTCATGTGTCTAAAATTTTTATTATATACTTCGCAATATGCTCTGCTAGGGTAGCTTAACTATTATAAAGGATAGGTATCGAAGAAATATTGTTTGCATCCAAAGGAATTTCATAAAGAAAATCCCTTAGCCACTCAGCCTTTATTCCTGTTTCGACCAATGCATGTTTGTTTCTTAGTCTTCCAAGAAGCTGCACCTCATCCAAGAGTAAATACTCTACTTGAAATAGACTTATTTATTCCTAGAACTAGCATCGGTATATACTTCTAGGATAGTTGGGAACTTTGTATATTGTTGTCCAAGATTTCTTATTTTCTTCAAATAACCAAGAAACCTCCCTATGGCCTTCCAATGTTTCAAATTTGGATTGCTAGTAAACATGCTTAGTTTACTCACAATTAATGCAACATTTGATGTTGTAAATTGTATTGTGTATATAAGACTTTTAATTGCACTTGCATATTCAATTTGAGCTACTGCTCTTTCATCATTCTTTATTAACTTGATACTTGGATCCAACGGGGTGTTTATCTCTTGAATGTTCAAATGCTTGTATTTATTTATCACATTCTCTACACAATGTAATTGACTTGATGAATAACCCCCACTATCATTCTTATCTTTAATTCTAAGGATAATGTGCACTTGTTCAAAATCCTTCACTTTGAAAGTTGAGGATAGAAATTTCTTTGTTTCTTTAATTCTTTCTATGTCATTATTAATTATTAACACATCATCCATATAAAAACATACAAATGTAAAGCATAGTCACACATTTTAGTATATAAACATTTGACGTAATTTTAGAGTCAAATTACTCATGCAATTTTTTAGGTGTTTATTTTAATTCTTAGAAGGACTTGACTAATTCACACACCTTATATTCATTTTTCGGTATAACAAGTCCTTCCAGTTGTTAATATAAACATCCTTCTTGAGATCCCCATGTACGGATGTTGTTTTGTCATCAGTTGTAGAATATGTAAAATCAAAAATTGATGCTAATAAAAGCAAGATCATTATCAAGGTTATCATCATTAATTACATCTTTCCAAAACATGCAATATCTAGAAGACATTGCTTCTTTATAATTCTTAAGATCACTTTCAACTTGAAGAACGAAATGAATTATTCTTATAATATCCTTCCTATCTCCCTCAACTAAATAGAGAGAAATAAGTTGGGAATCTATTTAGTCTGATACTAAACCATTTTCTTTTCTAACTCTTTTACTTTTTGAAGTTGACTTGATAGTTCAACATCTTCGTAGATGCTTCTACATGTGATTCTCTGAAGTGTGAATGTTTACTTGAGTTTCATTTTGAGAATTTCTTGTAGCTAATACATTCTCGAAAAATTCTAAATCCCTTGATTTTATTATAACATTTCATTCTAAGTTAAATAACCAATAGGCCTTACTATTTGAGGTGTATCCTACATAGGCACTTTCTATACCTCTAGGACCTAATTTGATTATCTTAGTACCATGTTCTTGCATTAAGTAAGACAATCCACTTTGAAATAACTTATGTTACATTTTCTTCGTATTTATATTTCATATGGAGAAACCTTATTCTTAAACGATTCTTATTGACTATATGGCATGCACAAAGTAAGGCTTCATCCCATAAATTAAATGATAGCTCAACATTTAACAACATGGCATTAATAATTTCTTAGAATGTTATGTTCTATCTTTCTACTAAACCATTTTATTCAGGTGTACGTAATGCAAAACATTGGTGTATGATGACATTTTGTTCCCAAAATATTTTGAATTCAATTGAGAAGTATTCTCCACATTTATCATCTATAAGAGTCTTTATTTTTCTTCCTAATTGATTTTCAACCCCAGTCTTATATACTTTAAATGTATTAAAACCTTCATCTTTATGTTTAAGTAAGTACACACAAGTATACCTAGAGCAGTCATTTATAAATGTAATCTAGTGTCTATCATCTCATCTTGTTATCATGCTATTTAATTCACATATATTTGAATGTACAAGTTCAAGTAGATTTGATGATCTTTCTACACTACGAAATTACTTTTTAATCATCCTAGATTTAATGAAAATTTTACATTTTTCTAATCAATTTCACATTATATCAATCAAATTTTAACACTAATACCCCGTGTGTGCTAATCTTCCATGTCATAAATTAATTGAATCAATCAAATAAGCAAATGAATTATTTTTATTAGAATCATCCTCAATAATACATAAGTTGACAATTCTTTCACTCAAATAGTAGTTATCAATGAAATATCCATTTCGAGTCAGTACAAGTTTTCCCAACTCAAATACTGATTTTATTCCCCATTTTCCCAAAAGAACCTAAGTTTTTGTTCATTTCTGGTACATAAAGAAAACTGATCAAAGTAATCTTCTTTTTCGAAGTAAAGATGATATCGATATTCCCTCGCCAATCACTTTAAAGAGTCCTTCGTTTTTCATTTAAATCTCTTGTCCATCAACAATGTCATGATAAGTTTTGAAAAGTGACTTCTCATAACAAACATGAATTATAGAATAGGTTCCTTACCACCAATCCGGGATTTTGCTTTGAATTGTATTGATTTCACTCATCGTAACTTTAATTTCTTTAATGGAGTTCATATTTCCTCCTTATTTGGTTGCTTTTTATGTCTACAATCTTTTGTATAATGTCTCAAATTTTCACAACCATAGTAAGGTCCCTTGGACTTATTTTTCCTTATATTTTAGGACCAAGAGTTATTTTAGTATTTATTAGAGCGGTCAACATTGTCCATGTCATTTGGTTTTGACGAATCTTCATAAGAATTTTTGGGTTTTATCTAGCGCTCTTGATTCTTCCTCTAAGCGAAGATATTTTTGTATATGTTTCGAATAAAAAATTTCGGAATTGTGAAGAATCTTTTTCCTATGACCTTTTCAAGTTGGAGGCAATTTAGCCATAGTTGCTCCTTCTTGAAATAATTCAGGAAGTTTGATCTTGATTGCCTTCAATTTTTTGACGATCACTTGAAGTTACCTTCCTCCTTGGCTTTGTATTTTGTTTTCAAGTGATTCCTAAATTTTCTTTTGCCGAAGTCATGCTGATGAGGAGATCATACAAATGATTGGAAAGGGAATTAAGAATGTGACAACGACAAATCAATTCGTCCTCTTATTCTTTCTTTCTCTCGGCCAGTACTTCTTCAGAATCTTCATCGGTTGTGTCAAAAATTGGTTCCAAACTTGGATCAAGCACATAAAATATCTTTAACACCGTTAAAATGAACTTAAGTTTGTCTTGCCACCGGTGAAATTTGTTCCATTGAACCAATTCAAAATTAACCAAGAGACTTGGTTCATCAACTTGATGGTTGCCAAAGTATTTTCCATCTCCATCGTAGTATAAATATCGTTTGAGATTATTGGATATAACAAAAATGGAGAGTAAAGTAGGATGAAGATGAAAACACCAAAATATGAAGGAAAAACAAGACTTGAATACATAATTAACGTTGTTCTTAAACGATATTTGCCTCATCTGCAAATGCTTTTAAGGGTTCTTCGTGATTTCATTTACTGTAGCAACTAGTCTATATTTGTGACTTTGGAGTAGGGATAGGAGTTACCTTGTGTGAGAAGGGTCAAATTGAGCATTTCCATTTTGTGGTCACCTTCTTGTTGAGAAGCTGTACAGATCAAGTCTGGCTCTGATGGTAAAAGTTCAAACAGTCCAGTCGAATTCTGGAGCAGATTGAAGGCTGTTGGTTTTGTTCTTGATTTCTTGTAGTGTTGATAAATCTCATGTGATGAGGTTGAACTTTGTACCAGAAGGCCAAATGAAGTTTTTGATTGAATATTATTAAAATCCACACCACTTATTTGTGCAACTATTGATTGAGAGTCTAGAATATGGTTGTAGGCAACTTATTTGAATTCAATTTTTTTCTTGGCCTTTTTTTTTTTTTTTTTTTTTTTTAAGTAACGGGGAACCCGCAGCCGCTACCGTTCGGATGCGCATTGGGTAAACCATCGAACTGATGTAACAGCCTACAAATCACGCCAGCCAGGTAAACCACACTAAGCAAGTCCAGTGCGACAGGCTCGATCGAGAAAGTGTTAGTAGGGAAAATCAAACTCTTGATCAAAAGTCTCTACGCTCACCTACTCCACTACCTCAGCCACCCCATGAGGGTTTTTTTTTTTTTCCTGGATCGCTATATAGTTTATCGAAGCATTAGAATATCAGGGTATAATGGTTTGCTGCAGTTGATTTCTACTTTTGCCAATTTTGGATTTTTGGTTTTGTTGCATATATTTAAAATTAGTTGACATTTTTTTAACAAAACAATCAATCAAATAAACTCATCCCTAGCAACAACTCTAAATTTTAATACAAATTAACATAAAAATGATATATATATAACAAGGTAAACTATACTATACTATGCGCTTGTAACAAACTTTTCTTCCATTAACATTTCCTAATGCTTTTGTGTTCTCTTTTGATACTTTTCTTTGATCCAGTGAAAACCAGTGGTGGCGCCGGTCTTCACTTTCCTCATGCCGGTGATGGCCGCCGAACCGCCAGTCTTCATTTTCTTCATGCCAGTGATAGCCACCGCCTTTGATTTATCAAACTTGTCGCCGACCTTGCTGGAATATTTGGAAGAACCACCAGTTTTGGTGTTGCTGTCGTAATTGTACATGGGCTCTGGATCCCATTGATCAGCCCATGACGTTTCATATGAACTGTTTGATGCCATTGATGTAAGCGTCTAGAGAGAGAGAGAGAGAGATTTGTTTATAGGCTGTTATTTGAGAGAGAGAGGGAGGGAGGTTGAGAGAGAGAGGGAGGGAGATTTGTTTATAGGCTGTTGTTTGAAGAGATTACATGGAATTGAACCTTTATAAGGGAATTGCAGAAGAATCAGAACAGCGGTTCCAACAAGACGGCGGGACGACCTTTGCTTCCTCGAAATGCTGCATTTTGAAATAGAATAATGCTTTTCCTTATCTACAAGTAATAAATAAGTCGTTTAAGTTAGATAATTTTCTATTAGTACAATAAAGTTAATTATTTTCACAGAAAGTAATGTTAAGATGGAATTATAAGTATAACTTAAGAATAATTCCATTTTATGGCTAAATGTGTGCCGAGTCTGTAAGATGGAATAAGTTACCTAGATGAACTTATTTTCACCAAAAAATAGTGAACCGCAGCTTAAAATCTAAAGGTTTGTGGATTTATTCGCCAAACATGTTCTAAAATCATCCACTTCTCTAGCTTTCATCTCATATTGCAACTGTTGGCCAACATGAGATTTTTATTTTTTATTTATTTTATTTTTGTGTTTAATTCATTCAATTTGTGTGCATTTCACGGCTATAAAGAAATTTTTTCAACCCCTATCATACTCTAGTTAGATAGTTTTCACCTCTTATTCGAGGTCGAGTACTTGAATTTGAGGACAAATTCAAAAATTCATATATTACTCCGATCATTGTCTTAGTGTAGCTGCTCTAACAAAGTTAATTGATGCTTATTTTTTGGATACATAATTGCTTATTTATTTAAAATCTAAAATTTTAAACCAACCATAGTGGAATTAAAAGTTACCTATTTGTATTTAAGATTAGCCAAACTTGCTGATTTTTTATAAATTAAATAGACTAATAGTGGTTGCAAATTGACGTGAGAAAAAAAAAAAAAAAAGAGTTTCTTTTGACCAAAAGAAATAATTTTATTTATCTTTTCAAGATAGACCGGCTTCTGCGGAAATAAAAGAATTATGTTATTTAATTTAAGTCAAATTTGGGCTCCTCTAACCAAAAAAGAAAAGAATATAAGTCTACGCGTTCACTTCTATGATTCTAGTATAAAGTCCCGAAGGAAAAGGCAGTACATATAAATTAGAATATTCTTTGATTTTTTTTATTCTTCTTTTTTAAAATTTGAGCATCTAGAATTTTTATGCACATGAAAAATTTATTTGAATATAAAATTATAATAGAGAAGAATGATATTAAGACCTAATATAAGCATATTTTTTGGCTGGATTATCTTTAATTTGATTGTATATTAATGTTAGTGACCAAAGGCCGTATTACAAAATATAAACAAGAGTATGTGCATCTCAATCGAGCCAAAGTATGAGAAAAAATAAAGTAAGTCGAGTTTCATGCTAATTTTAAAGCCATCCCACTCCTCCCCTCTCCCAAATAATTGGCAATATTACTTTTTTTAAAGAAAAATTCAAATGGAAAAGTTTAATGCCAATTATTCCTAAATCATTCTCGTCTTAATCGATACTAAAAATTTGATACAATAATGGTATGTTTAGTTAGGAGGTTGGAATCAACTGAAAATTATTAAAGAATAAAAATAAGTTAATAAATTGAATTATTTAAATCTAGTTCAATATTGCATGTTAAATGTATAATTATAGTATCTAAGAATTAGCACAAAATGTAATGGTTCAATATCTTAAGTTTTTTCAAAATGATCAAATCAAAACTTTATAAAAAGTCTCGCTTTCCACCGTCCATTAGAAATCTCATGTATAATAAATTATTATAAGCGTCAAGGATTATATGAATAACAATTCCACATATTTTTCTTTCTAGAAATGGCATTTTGACTTTCAAATGCTGATAGAAGTTTCTCGATTCATCAAGAGTTAGAATCCTTCTAGATTATAGATTTCTTTGGGTTTTATTTGTCTTTCCAAGATGAATAATGATGCTTGAAATTGGGCCAAAAGATAGACAAAAGAGTTTTGCTTCCTGTCCAAGGTGGGGAACAGGGCAAAAAATAGGGCGCCCACGTGGTGCGTCCTTCATAATTTTAGCCTGTCATTGAGCCTATTGTTCCAAGATAAATAGACTTCTGTTGAATTAATTGACGCTCATATTTATAAATCTTTTATAAATATTTAAATTATTTTTTACTTGTATATTTCAAGTCATATTCAAGTTCTTGAATTCTCAGCAAGATAGAACTATTTTACCGTAATTGATAAATGTTGACAAATAAACAAAAGAAGACCTTCAGCCTACCTCCAAAAGTTGCTCCTTTGAGGGAGCTTGTTCTAAGTACATGCATTGAATCACTCACACTAGTTACCGCTCTTACTCGTCTTGCCAATTCATTCACTACTGCTTTTTGAGACGACTTTATTATATTTTTTGAAGATAGCCTGTTCGAACTAATATTACTTACTCGTTTACATCTATCCATTTATACTTTAATCAGGTTATAAATACTTTTCTACCAATAAAAGAGAACAATATAATTCTATGTGCTTCTGTTTCCTTAAAGTATAAAGTTACGTGGAAGAGACAACAAAAATAAACCCCATTCATTAAAATGAAATAATAATACATTAATGAAATTTTTTACTTTTAAAAGTTAAATTATTCAGATATATCTGATAAACTAAGTCTTTTATTATTTTTCATATTCCTTAAATAATTTTAGTTTTCATCTTCTATTAGAATTAATGAAATTACATGAATTTTTCTATTTAAAGTATTGATTTTTTAAAAATAAATAAATAAACTGGGTGGGATGGGGCTCTTATTACCCATGCCCGCCCCGTCCTCAACTTCACTATCTGATTAATCAGGTAATCTCCGCTCCATTCGAGATGGGGCCCCGCGAGTATCGAGTTTGAAGAATTTTTTTTTTAATTTTTTTTTTTTTTGCCATCCCTTGAAGCAATCTGCCACCACTCACTTGCCATCCACACTCAAACTTGTCAACAAGCAAATAAGAACATTATGTTCGCCATATGCTCAAGGAACACTAATTTAAAACCAATGGGGAGATAGTGCGAAAATAGTTAATTGGCAATTAACTATTTAATAATTAGGCTAGCGTCCAAAAATCGTATCAAGAAATAAAAATAAGATTACGTGTATTGTTGTCGAGTCAAAAGATGATGAATGGTAAAAGAACCGTGCTACATTACTAAGGCCTTAATGTCTCCCCCCACCCATCACATTGGCCAACTGGTAATGGGGTTTTATCCATGGTAAAATCAAATAATTGGAGATTGAGATTGTTGAGAATGAAAATGTATCCATGCAGTTTTTTTTTTTTTTTTTTTAATTTTAATGTCTTCCCTTCTCTCTCGACAAATTGATCATATTACGTGATTTTAAAAAATAAATTCAAAACTGAAAATGTTTAATGCCAATTTTTGTTTTAGATAGATAATGAAATAGTTAAACAATTATTGTATAACTGAAAAAGGGAATATAAGTGTACTTGACAATATTTGTGACTAATATAATTAGATAAAAAAAAAAAAAAAGTTATTGTAATATTCGTTATATTGTCTAATTCACATTTTGTATTTTCAGTTTCAAATTAAGTGGGCCCGCCTGTTTGAATAAGGTGTGAAATATTAGGGTTGACAACGAGACGGGAAGAGGGGGGCCCCACTCATCCGGGCAGTTTTCTGTCTCATACTCATCTTGTTACCCATTTAAGGCGGGTTGCCTCATTTACATACTTGTTTAATTTTTTTTATTTTTTTAATAATTTTTGATAATTTATTTTATTGTCCTCTATTCATTCAAGTGAGATAATAATGTCGTTATTAAAAATTTTAATTAATTAATTTATTTTTAAAAATTAAATTATTCGAATATATTCAGTAAACTAAAGTTTTTATTGTTTATTATATTTCTTACATAATCTTAATTGCCATCTTTTTTTAAAATTAATGAAATTTCATGAAATTTTTTCATTTAAAGTATTGAATTCTTTTAAAAAAAATAAACAAGGCAGGCCCTTGTTATCTGTACCCACCCCTGACTCATCTTAGAGCAGAATATCCCGCCATATGCCCTACCTGATTACTCAATTAAGCTGGTAATCCTTGCTCCATTTGGGACAGGGCCCGCAGGTGTCAGGTTGGACAAGTATTTTTTCTATCCCTGTGAATTAATGATCAAAATATGGGCAATTTTTACTTCTAAATCCGTCATATATGTCCGAAAAAGCAACTGATATCTAATTTTACCCTTTCATTACATTTTTCCACACGCCAATTTCTTTAAGTTGGTGTTAGGGATAGATCGGATTCAAAATTTTCATGTATTTAATAAGTAGAACCGTTTTGTTCAAATTTAATTATATAATTGCTCAAATTCGACTTAGTTCGGTTTGATTCGGTTCCCGAGTTCTATACTATAATTAAGATTTTTAATATTTTCAAAATTACATTAATTCAAGTAATGACATGTTTAATCTTAACACTTACAAAATAATATAGTTCAATTTTATGTATTTTTGTGTCTTTTTTGCTAAATTCTTTATAAATTTGATTGTTAAAATTGCAGGAAGAGAAATGTAACGAGCTTACAAAGATTAAGAGAGGTGTTGTTGAATTTCAATTCGATTTCTTCAGAACAGCAGAAACAGTATTACGGTAGAATTACAAATTTGGGTAAAAACTTAGGTCAATTTGATTAAATTGAGTTTAGACTGAAAATTAGAAATAGAAAATTTGTATTTTTGAATTTGAACTAAATTAACTAGTTAGCAAATTTATTTTAAAAAAATAATCTGACTTATTTAAAATAAATAAATTAAAAAAATTAGGGAGATTCGACTCTTGATCTAGAGCCGAGAGTCGAACCAGACCTGTTGGTTCTCGATTCAGATATCCGTTCGAGTATTTAACTTAAAAAGCACCCCTCGATTCATTTTAGTTCAGATTAGGTCCATTTCGATTGATTCGATTCGTGAGTTTTGTCTTGACTTGTAAAAAGAGGGTAACAAAAACAGGCCAACCGACTCGTCAGCTCAGTCGCTCGACTTGTGGGTGGTTTGGGTTCGTCATTTGACGAGCCCGAGCCAAGC